TGTTTCAAAATACCAATGAGTAGATAATGGGTTAAGCTTTCTTGGTTGGTAAATGCATTAGAAAACTTTATTGTTTTCATTGTTGATAGATGCTTCCTGCTTTCTTAGCAGCTTAATTTGGCCGGAAGTAATGGACGGGAAAGAAAATCAAGCAGGGTTTATTACCCTTGGTGGACGAAAAAAAATACAATATTAGAGAAAAATTTGAAAGGGCAAAAAAGTGTTGGAAAGGAAACACATATTAATAGCAACAGCTGCCTGGTAAAGCAAACAACCCGACAAAGCAATCAAAACGATAAGCAAACAAACAGCAGAGCAACAAACGGAAACGCATTAAGGCGCAAAACGGAAATGATTTGTGCCTGAGGTCCTAATGCGGATAATAAATTTTAATGCTAATGAAAGCCGATTATAAGCTGGTGTTAAAACTATTGGTGCGAAAATTTTAGATGACTCTTTTTTGTTATTACATCTAAATGACTCGAGTGAGACTCTGCTTTAATTTGCAAAAAAGTTGAATTTATCTGAATAATTAATTCTGAGCTTTTAATTTTCTATGCTAATAAGATAAAGAATTTTCAAAATGTTGCAGAAATTAAGAAGGAATTTGTTTAAGGATAAGCTTTTAAAATGTGACAAAAGACTTGTAACACAGTTGTCAGTGTAACTATAAAGCTAATTTTGATTAATATTATTTTTAGGTTTTTGCATTATTTCAATAATAAACATGATATTATATATATATATATATATGTTTATAATAGTTAGAAAAATCGTTTTAATTATAATTCTAATTCAAATTCAAGTTCTAGATCCTATATTATATTTTTCTATTTTTTTTTATTGTATATTATTTATATATAATAAATTCTTATTCAAATTCAATTTTCAAATCTCATATATTATATTTAAATATATTTATTAATATATTTATATTTAAAAGCTGCTTTTACATTTAATAACCGTTATTAATAATATCAAAATAATTATGGAATATATAATATAATAATTAAACAATATATTGATATATATATTTTATATCTATATAAAGTATAGAGGTTTTTTCGAACAGTAGTGAAATACAACAATATAAAAATTTTATTTATTTATATTATTTTAATTAATTGAATTTTTGGCTGACCATACAGCTGTTTCGAGTATTGCCAAATACCCATCATCAGTGGTCTTGGAAATAATTCTTGTATTTAATTATTCGTAAATAAATATTTTTGAGACTGCAAGTACCAGGAATCGAACTCGGGTCCTGCCAAATGTGAAGCTCAGAATCAGCGCACCTTAACCAACTGATCCAAAGCCGTACTTGACTTTTTTTGTTCGCATATTTTTCTGGAGTTTTGTTACTTTTGCTATGAAAGTTTTTATTAACAATTTTACTTGCTGTGTTTATATTAGAACGAAATCATAAACCAGCTGTAGAATAATTGAATTAATTAATTAATTATATTTTTTTTATTTTTAATTGTTAAATTTCAAAACTATTCTATTCGTAGAGGCATTATTTGTTGCATGATTTGTTCTTTCTTATGTATAGAACCTAATCTAGGAACGTAATGCTGAGAAAGTCATGCTAATGGTACTCCACTAGTCGTACGGGCGAGAACAATATTCTGTGAATATTGATATATATATTAATATATATATTTTATATTATAGCTCTGGCAGCACTAATACGATTATCTCAAACGAACGCGTGTTTAAGAAATGATATTTTGGGTTATATGCTATAGGAAATTGTGTGATTTATCTTCCGTGTTTAATTTTGATTTAAAAATGTATGAAATATTTGCCGAAATACGTTGTGTGATGCTTTATTGCTACGCCAGCTAACTTGGTTGAGAAGTTTCGATCCATCCATCGTATTGTCCACATTGCGCTGTCTGACTACCATTTGTTTCGGTCTCTGCGAACCTTTTTATTGTTAAAAAAGTGGCTGACCAAAGAGTCACTCAAAACCATTTGGCCAAGTTTTTCGCCGATAAATCACAAAAGTTCTAGACCAATGGAATTATAAAACTTCCCAAAAATGACAAAAGCTGATAAATATTTATGCCCAGTATAAACATTATTATTATTATTATAACACTCAATACATAAATAACCCAATATATGAGCAAAAATATGTAATAAAAATGATTAAAGAGTTAGTTTTATGGAATAATAAAATTAACCATAAAAGCTAATAGTTAGGTTATACCGGCGATCTCAAAGTATCCACTGGGGCCTACAGGCCCATTGTGTTACCGTATAATTATAACACAAAACTTTAATAGTTATAAATCTTAATTTAGTGCTAGCATGAAAACGATGAATCATTTATAACAGTTATTTTATTATTATTATTAAAGAGTGGGCGTGAAACTTGCCCAACAGCCGGTACTGCGGCTAGAAGAGTCCTATTGTACCAGTTTCACTATTGATGAAACGAAGCCCTTTAATCTATTTATAACATTTAGAATATTGTTATATTATTTTCCTACCATTGCGTAAATGCCATCTCTGTTCTATGCAGATTTTTAGAATTTCAGTATTTGCATTGGAATTTACAATTTCCAGACCTCTTCAGTGGGGTCTGCGCAATTATCTGCGTCATCAGATATTTTTTTGTATCAAATCGAAAGCTGTTTTAATTGTTTACTAATCGAAAACGTGGCTATTCACAACATTCAGGAATTAATAATTTTTTCCTTGAGAGCTCAAAATAAAACATTGTTTAATAATTGAGTTTATCAATGAAAAAATGCGGCGCTCATACGCAAACCAAACAATTTTTGCTTTCAAAAATATCTAAAAACCGGCAAAAAATGGGAAAAAGTACAAAACAGCAAAAAAGGTACAACGTTTTAGGCTGTCAGTAGCAATGTTTAAAAATACAACAAAAAAATATTATTAAAAAAATAGAATTACAAAAAAAAAAAGTCCTTAATGGAAATGTGTTTGCAGCTCGCAAACATTTCATTTGGTAAAAATGTTTGGTTTGCGTTGCCGTGGTATTTTTCTCCATAATCCCAAATCTGATTTTGAGGACTTCATCCCGCAGCAATAAAATGCTTATTACATTATTACGGACTAAGTCCAAGTTGCTGGATAATGTTGTTGTTGCCGTGGATGTGGATGTAGTTGGTGTAAATTTTTCACAGTTTTGTGTATTTTGTTTTTGTTTTTTTTTTTGTTCTGCTGAAATCAAATTTTTTGTTGATACCTCGAAGCCTAACAGCGTGAGCCACAATCCGCATTTACATTAACAGCCCAACCACCTGCGTTTTTTGTGAAAAGAGGGATCGGATGTTGACGTACGGACAGGTAATAAGAATACTCACTGAAAGTGTTCACATCGGAAGTTTTTTCTTTCGGCTCTCATGTTTTGTTGAGTCTATTATGTGTTCGTTCCTTTAGCACTGGGTGGGAGGGGTTTTTGTTTAGGATGAATGCGTTTTGGGCAAAATATCTAAACTGTGTAGATTTTTAAAGTGCTTATCCATGCACTTAAGCATGAAGTTCATTCAATTTAGATTAAGTTGAGTTGATAAGCGAACTGAAGTTTTTAGTTTTTCTTTTTAACTGAACCCTAAGGTAATTAGAATTAGTATTGTATGAAAGATAAAAACCATTTTTTACACATAATCATATAGAAAATGTAGAAAAATTAAAATATCTGGATGTTAATGTTTCTGTCTGCATAGCTTTTCAGGATATTTCCTCCACGTGGCATTTGTGTCAAAACTCATCATAAGAAATTAAGTCCGTTTTCTTACACTTATATAAATGTTAAGGAAAATTTATCGGGAATCTATGATTATTGATATTCGAACCCTTGCCTTACATATAATTGTCTTGATGTCAGATCCAAAAAAATTCTTCAATAATTCGTTGACTTGATTGTAAGAGCCTCCATAAGTTGAAATGTTGCGCATCACGAAAAGTATGTATGCTGATGTTAAGACCTGTAAGACTGTGTTTAATAAATCATGATATCTTCTTCTCTAAATTGAGAGTAATATTGGAATTGAATAATAAGCTAAATCAATGTCGTTTGGTCATTTTTAAAAAATATTTATATATTGCAGTACACAACTATCAAGCCAACATTGCTACTATAGGTATCACTACCGATCTAACACATCATCTCGAAGATGTAGACACCACAAAGTATTTCGTTTTTTATTGGACAGCATTTATAAGAGCTAGACTGATACTGTTGACTTAAAAGGTTTTGAACATATATGATTTTCATAATCTTTTCTGCTTCTCTCTCAGTTTAATTCACT